ACTTTATTTCCTCCTCGACGTGAATATCAACATTCTCCTCTTTCTCAATCTGATACTATTAAAGACAATTCTATGGATTATAAATTATACGATGATGATGATGATGATGATAATTTTTGGACTGGATTAGATGTTCAAGATGGTAATGCTTTTGAACCTGTTCACAAAAATATTGTTCCTCGTTCGGTTCCTACTCAACAAAAAAGACCAAGACGACAATCTTTTACTATAGAATTTACTCCTCCTTCAATTTCCAATTCAATTTCCAATTCAATTTCCAATTCAATTTCTAATCCAATTTCTGATCCAATTGCTGATTCTATGAATGTTGATATGAATATTGATATGAATGTTGATATGAATGTTGATATGAATGTTGATGTAAATTTATCTGATGTTTTATCTCATTCTAAAGATTCTTCTTTATCATCCGAGAAAAGTTCGGCTTCTACAAATAATAGTAGTATTTCGAGGAATAGTCGATCTTCACCTTCTTCTTTATCAAAAAAGTCTCCAAAAAAGAATTGTAATCCATCTTTTGTAACTCCTCCACCTTCTCCAAATAAGATAGTGTCACATTCAAAAAAAGATACTAATGTGATGTCAAAACGTCCATCTACCGTATCTCCTAAAACTTCTTCTCCTCCTTTGAAAAAGTGCAAGTCAAATGTGACTTTATCAAAAAGTCTTAATTCATCAACTTCTAAAGAAAAAGTTTCTTCAAAATCTAGTACAAAATCTGTTACAAAGAGTTCTACAACTTCAAAATCACGTACTATGTCAACTTCAAAGACTTCAAACTCAAATGTTACTGGTAGTGTTAAAGAAAATTTCAATCCTTCTTTAAAATCAAAAAAATCGGTTACTTCTGGCAAGTCTTCTTCGACAACTAAATCTGTAGATTCTACAAGACTTTCAAAAGTGGCTTCATCTCCTTCATTAAAATCAAAACCTTCTGGATCTTCTTCTTTAACGAAACATTCAAACATTTCTTCAATTTCATTATCAAGTGTCAAAACAAATCGTTCATTACCATCCATGTCTTTTGAAAAAAAATCTCATTGTCAAACAACTGTCTCATCTTCAAAATCTTCAAAATCTTCAAAATCT